AAAAAAAAAAAAAAAAAAACTCTGACACTTCTTTGAGAAGCAACGAGAGTCTCTCCGTTGAATTCCGAGAATTCAAAGGTACCTGTCTGATATATTATCTGAAGGGGCAAGTTGGAGAATTTCGTACATGTATTAGAGATATACACTTGAGAGACAAGATGCGTTCCAAAGGAAATTCCACATACGACAAACCAAGAGTGACAGGGAGAGACAGAGAGGGAGGGAGAGATGGATAGATCGTCAGATATATTCCTGGTACACTTACGCGTTCCTGCAAGTTCAAGCTCGAGGCAGGAAGGACGATTTGCGGCCGACAAAGCCGGTTAAACGGAAGTGGCAGTCGGTTATACCGCCACTAAGTAAGTGCGAATTAACGTGTGGAGAGGATCGACGTGAACGATAGTAAGAGATAGAAATCGTTCGAACTGAGAAACGATATTATCAATTATTCCTCTTCCGATTGTTTAAAGAAAGAATTCTGCTAATATAGCACGAATGGAACGTTTGAGAAGAAAATTCCTTTTTTCGAAAAACAGGTATTTGATTTTATCATATTTGATTGTATATTGTATTTTATATTTAGTGTCGACGAATGGTTTTACATTTATCACTTGCTCTTTGAGAAGCTATTTCAAATAAAAAAAAAAAAAAAAGAAGAAAGCTACACGTACGTTTATAATTCAGTATAGCATGGAAGTGCATCTACTTGTTCCTGATGAATTATATTTCATATTTCGGTGATCAACGAATGATCCACTTGCTCTTCGAGGAGAAATATTTCAAGTCAAAGGAAAAAAGCTATACGTGTATTTATAATTTCATGTAGTGACGTATCTACTTGTTCGAGACGGAATTAAATTTCCCGCGTTATTTTACGAATCCAACGCGCGACACGTCGGAATTTGTTAACTGATACCAGCGATCAATCCGCTGTTATTGCACTTAGTTTCGCGAATGGCCTAGACAGGGGATTCCGGCGAAAATGAAATCGACGGTGCGTCACGGGGAATCGACATTTTTGTAAGCCGATTGCCCGATGATTAATATTCCGGCGGCCGCTATTGCTAATTGCTTTTCCGCCCGACATTAATGGAACTTGTCCGGAATACAATAAATCCGGCCGATTTCGCTACAAATGTCTGGCTATCCGTCTTGCGTCACGCGAAATTTATAACAAAATGTCTCTCTGAATGGAGCAGTAAAACTCTCGAAATTCACGCGAAATTCACGTGAAACAGAAAGAAATTACAATTACTATTTTATTTGTGAATTAACATTAAGAATGCAATATTGAACTAATGTCAGAAACGATTTGTCTTTTAAACTCTAGCGAGTATAACTGCGCTAGATCTAAATTAATTTTAGGCGTTTTCAAGGACCAAGACGTTATTATTTTCTTACGTGAGAGTATTGGGAGTCGAACAAAAAAATTTCTCGATTCTAACATAAAGAGGGTTTCTTTTTTTGTTATGTAAATCTTTGAATCTACTGTTAAATATATACACTTGAAAAGTTCTTTTTCTTATTCTCTGTTCGAACCGAATTTGAGTGGAATTTTCACAGGAAAAGAAAGGGGTCGAGTCAGAATTTGCTTCCTTAGAATTCGCAGAGTCTTCAGTTCTGATGAAAATCTCGAGATTCCGTGGATCCCCCTTCGTGTTGAATAAACGAGGAGAGAGAGAGAGAGAGAGAGAGAGAGAGAGAGACGCGAGCACTTTCGTTCGTTTCGTGGCACTTTTTCTAATTAAAGACTCGGCTATTCTCGGCGCGTCCGCCAATGAATCTCGATTTAATTCGACGACTTCGAACGGTAAGGCTTCGGCCAATTAATTCAGACTCCTGATTTCTTCGCGTGGATACGTCCACGCTGACGATTGCGTCAGTTTCGTGCGTGGACGATCGAACACGGGAAAAGGAAATTCTGCCCGACGATCGACCCGGATTTTCGAAGCGCGAGATTCGTTTCGTCCTCAAGAAAATCGAATAGTCCGAATTCCCGTTGCCACTCGAGCAACCGATTCTTTCTGTCTCTGTCTATAGTCTTTCTGACTATGGAAAGCGGTGGTCGTTTGATCCCCGATCGTGCAATAATTTTAATTGCAATTTAATGAGACCCGCGCGGCTCCTTGAATATTCTCCCTACGATTTTTTTGAAATTTAAAAGGCCTGAAACTTTGGTGAAAGCTGTAGGAGTGAAGAAAAGAAAATTGATCTAACTTGTTAGATCGTAAGTGACTGATAGGAGGTTTCATTTTTTTAAATTACAATTGCAAATTACGAGACTGATGTTCCAATAGAATTTTTAATGCAATTTTAGGATGATAGAGTCCATTGATATTCAAATTTAGTATATTTTACTTTTATTTCGTACTCTGCTTAAAAAATGAAATCAAAAATTCTGGAACAAAGTACAGACTTGACGAAACCAAATTAAGTAAGAAAAATTTAAAACTCCGAGTTAGATGACCAAAGTTTGGAATATTTGATTGTATTTCGTATTCTAGATATTTCACGATAAAATTAAATTGAATTAAAAATACTGAAAGTTGCATTAAATTTATATGAATTTTATATAAATATCATATAACGATCTACTTGATCCCATCTATTTTGACAATCCTGAGTTCATTTTTTTTCCCCCCAAAAAATGTTTTCACGTCTTACAGCGTTTGAATTTGTTCCAACAATTCTCAAGTGATCTATTTTTACAAAGTTATATCAGTGTATATTGTCGGCAATTTTTTATTATCATTGCATGCTCTTCACCGTACATATTAAAAAAGAAAAAAAAAATTAATTCAGTTTTCTGTCTGGCAGTGAACCGAATACATAAACTTCAGTCTTAAATCAAATTCGAGACTCGAAGTGTAACGAACGGGTTTATTTCTAATTTCGCGTAAAATTAATGTAATTCGCTGTCCAACGCTAAACAGATTTTAAACTTTAGGTCTAACTTGAGACTTGAAATACTTCGTTCAGAGAGAGAGAGAGAGAATTTTCAATTTCACACGCGAAACGTATGAAATAAATGGAACAAAGTGGCGTGGTACAGGAGGTCTCAAAGGGGGTGAACGGCGTTCTATATAGGTTGTTCGTTAAACGAAGTGGCTTGCTGCAAGGCTGTGAAACGGTGCATAAAAATGCACTTACTTAGCCGCATAAATCGATCCGCTCCGGTATGTTTACACCGCTCCATAGTGGTATATAAACCCGCATCTCTCTTCTATTCTCTCTCCTGTCTCTCTCTGCCTCTCTGTCTGTTATTCTCTCCATTTCTCGTTCAGTGACGATGGTAAGTAATGTCGCTGGAAAGAAAATACAACGCTGAGTATATATGTACGCGAAAGATTTTCTCCCAGCTCCGGAGAGCAGCTGCTTCTCTCTCGTAGTATTTTAAATAATCGTCTCTCGGTGTTGGATAAGTTTCTCTCAGATACACAGCTATTGTACATCCCCATAAATTTCGTTTATTTTTAATGATTTTTCTTTTCGAGGATATTGGTACTCTTTTCTTTTTGGAAAAATTTCTGCACCGTTATTACAGTACAAGAGGTGTTCAAAGTTCAAGCTCAAATTAGTTTCAGTTTGTTACGTTTGTTCCCTGTGTCCTTCAGGGACTTCGATCTTTAGTTTCAAATATGTTTCAGATGACGAAAGATACGTAGGAACTTGCATTGAATCAAACGTGGAACATTTAGTACTTCCTTCCATCGATCTCTTTTTTAACCACTGTTTACATTTAACGATATTACACGTGCCATTCGAATTTTTCACGTCACGCTGTATAAATCATCGAAACTGGAACTCCCAGTCCCACCGTTTTCCATTATTCCTCGTAATTCCCCAGGCACGAAGACTCAACAACTCGCGTTCGCTCAGTGATAAAACCCAGCAACTCATATCCTCATATGTTGTTGAAACATAATTCCCCGTGAATTTCCACGATTTTGAATCTCTCGCGTAAGTGCGACGCAAGCTTAGTGCGTTTATTTGAAAACAAAAAAAAAAAAAAGAAAAAAAAGGGGGACAAAAAAAGAAATAGGTGAAAAAGAAGGAAAGAAAGGGAATGTGAAATGTTGCGGGGCGATTTTTTTCATCCGTCGAAGCATCGCGTCGGGGCGAGCCG